ACCGTGATACGAGTAACAATGCCATAGTTATTACCACTCACCACCCTTAAGAACTCGCCAATGATCACGATTAATAGATGAGGAAGCAGTGATAATAGCTCCGGAGGCCATAGCTGAGAACGCTGTTCTTCACAAAACTATATTGCAGAGAAAAAAGAAAGATATAGCCCCTATTTAACATTCCGTGTTAGCTATATAAAGGTTTCCTTTTGATATGAGGTTCAAGGGGAAACTGTATTTATAATAATTACCTCCCAGTGTTAAGCCAACAGCTAGACATTTTGCCCCTAGAAGTTGGAAAACTTCACCGCGTCGGGCACCTACTCCAATTACCACGCTATTCTCATCTTTGGAGATTGTCACTTCGTTAAATAAGCTCATATCGATCAGTACGCCGTTGTCCATGCCTGCAGCCCGGGAAACTGGAGAATTACCACCACCGAGATCCGCTTTGTATCGTTTTTGTAATTTTATTTCATTTGTCGCTTATTATATTCGTGCTTGAGGGTAGGAATCGCCGTACTAGGCTACTTAATATGCTGGGGCCTGACGACACACGCTGGTACGACTTCCCTCTCCTGTTTGCCCCAGTAACTATCCACGGACTGCCTGTATACACCCTGACATTGAGGCAAGACATATCCAAGAGCCGAGAAAAGGAGCTCGCTGAGTTTTACAGCAGCTTCTGAGCGGTTTATAGGGTCTACCCAGGGCTCCGGCCGTAGACTGCACATGGTAAAGATGAGAACTGAAGGATGCTTGCTCCATCAATAGTAAGCAGGTCGAACATCGTGAGAATCTATGGCAGCGTGATAACTAGTGAACGGAAACGAAAGCGGTTTTGCTCAGCTTCAATATAAAGTAGGAAGCTCATCTCCCAGCACCACAGTCAAAAGAACTGGATAACTCTTTGGTCAGGGGTTATAATTCCCTGCCCCTTTTGGCACTACTGGAAATGGCCTCCAACAGTTAGCTAAGTAAAATCATTAGTTATCTTCGCCAATAGAAGTTACATATTTCAGAAAGGTGATGAGAAAATTGAGCGCTACCAACCTCGTAATATTATATACGACGTGTTAACCTAGACCATTTACTACCGTTAGCATAGCAAAGCAGTTGATATGTGACTGTTTACTAATTCCCTGCATCAATTACTTTGGTTATTAGAATTTATTTAAACATCTATAACTTACTAATTTAAAACTGTTTTCAATCACTTTTCCAGTGATCTGTTAAACTCCCATCAATATCATCCTGCCTTCCAAGCCATAGCTCGACAGCATATAGAGCCATAGTGCACCCCAAATTTATCCATCTCCAAAAGTTCCCGTTCCCCAATGATTGTACATTCCACCATTCGGCATCCTCCCCCGTTATTCGTGACATGGATGCAAAATGTTGCATGAGCAAGCTGGTATATACTGCTATGAGTATTGAAGGCGAGAACCAGCTGAGAAGCCCCAGAAATTTCCCAGCACCATCCGAATCTTCCAGGGATGCTTCTTGGGACAATGCACGGGCACCAGACTCACGCACAGCGGGAATAATTCTAGTTGATGCATAGAGAACAAAGAGGCGGTAAATAAGAGAGATCAGTACCGACGGGGTAATAGCACTGAAGGCCGCCGTAACCACACTGAAGAAAGTATGGATAATAGAGGGCAAGGCTGAAATGGTATGCACCAACGTTGTGTATGACGCCATGATAATAGGGGGTAATGGAGGAAATTCGAGAGTTTGCGGCGGAGGGCTTGCCTTTTCTCTCGATACAGAAGGCTGATAATCGGTAAAAATCTGGTATATGCAGAGCACGGCGTACGCAAATAAAAGTGAGCTTTCGACAGGGTTTCCACGCCCACTGCCTATACCCCACGCACAAAGTATAACAGCGCATGTAATGGATACCCCGATAAGTGCCGAGTCGAGGTTGCTGATCCCAGGAAGCCCGAGAACACGCCAGAGAAAGTATAACGAGCTTGATATGATTGACGCGGAGAAAACAAGCAGCCCAATCTGAAACTGTTAGCTAGGGCCACCCATAGAACAGGTTGCTCATAGTAAAGGGGGTGCAGGTACATACCATCCAGCTATCACTTCTCCCGCTCCTATTCACGAGGAATCTAGTAATCTGCCCAGAGGCTTGGATTACAAGTAGGCTGCAAAAGCCTTCCGCTAACTGGAATACAGGTGTAGACCAGCACAGCAGCTTGTCCCAAAAGCCAATAATAGCTGCCTCCAGTAAACCGTCTTGCCCGAAAACCCATTGGCGCATAGAGCTATGTCTGGTCTTAAGAGTCGTAAACGCCCGCTCAACCCAACTACCGGACCCATTTGTGTCGATGGAGAAACGATTAAGTGACCATATTAACAAAGCTAGGACGATGAACCATTGGGCTGAACCGATGACAAAGAGGAAGGAGTTTCGGACAAGAGACCTTGCGGGGGTCGTGAGCTTGAGGAGAGAGAGGAAGAAGTAGAAAGCGGAGAGGGAGAGGGAGAACGCAAGGCCGCAAGTTCTCCCTCCTACATCGAATGCAAGCGGTATGGAGAGGACCACGGCAGAGAGAAAGAAGATGGACGAAAATATTCGAAAGATCCACATGGACGGGCAGATGTGGTTTCGTTTTTGACAATATAGGTTTCTCCGAGCTGTAAACGTCGGGATATCAAGCAGAAGGAGAGAGAATGGGAAGGTTGCTGGATCGATCAGGTTTGGCCGGCGGTAAAATACTCGTTGCTCCGGTCTCCAGTCCTCCTCTGGTCGACCTTGATCTGGATTATTATATGGTTGTTGTCGGGTTCCTTTTTTTTAACTTAGGTCATCTTGATAGGTGCCGAGTATTTAAAACAACGCGTGGTGCAAGCAGGGAGATTCTCGTAACCAAATAATAGATGAGGATGGTCGTCGTCGCTGGGGAGGGGCTGAAGGGAAAAAAGAAGAGAAGATTTATATCGGTTAACCAAACAGTTAAAATAAGGATGGGAATGATGGGCGTTGTTTTTTTTTTTTTTTTTTTTTTTTTTTTTGACCGCTTTTGCTTTTGCCGAGAGGGTTTTCCTTTCCTCTTTTTTTGTGTGTGCTTATGTGCGCTCCTGGGGATTCTCGACTTGCCTAAGAATAATGGCAGCTGAAGGTTGAGAGTAAGTCAGAAGAGGCTGGAAAAAACAGTTCATAGAGAGCTATTTGTTTGTTGGTATGTTATATCGGTTGAAGCTAAGTAACTAGGATAAGTGGCATCTTTTATGTTCATTTTTTTGGTGGAAGCAACTATAACGTATCTACAGGCAGTTCATCTGTTACGCCCGTCCTCGGATGACTGCTGAGAAACGTATCGAATACGCTACACTCGCGACATGGTATCATTTGTAATGAAGATAAGAAGTATGTAAAATAATGGTTGAGTCAGTAGCAGAGTTGCACATCGATCCTATTATCGAAATTTCTTGAGAGCCACATTGAGGCAAGTTGAAAAAGAGCTATCACTCTGGAAACTGGGGAGACATGAACGGAAAATAAAAGCATCATGTGAGCAGGCTATTGGGCAAGTGACAACGATGAAGGGGATATAAGAGAGAGCAAGAACAGTAATAAAAATGTGAGGGTGGCCGTGTACAGATTATTGTGGAGGGCTTCAGGGTAAGGTGGCCCAAATTGTATGAAGTTATCCCAACCGAGGGCGCTTTGTTGAAGCATGGTCGAAAAGGAAACTTCATTGACAGTGATCTTTGATAGACAGAAGCCGTTCGTTCCAGATGAGTAATATTGACACCATTAGAAAATCCTTCGTCTTCGAACAAGCCCAGAGCAAAGAAGCATTCTTGAAACAAGACACGGCACAGGCTGGTCAAGAGAGCTTGATAATTCATCAAGATAAATCATTAAATCAAAATGTTCGAAGTAAAGCTATCGTCGAATAGGGATTTCACTCATTCGCGGAGAAGAGTCGTCTGCATCGTCCGTCTTTCGCTCCGACATTGATACTCTCGACTTTGGGCTTTCCCTGGTTTCAAGGCGTGACCGGTTCTCTTCTTTACTGTTTGATCCCCCGTCATCGTCATTGGTATCCTCCATGTTGGCTTGTCGTTGGAGAAAGCTTCCCTCTTTTATGGGGCTGCGAGCCATACCCAGAGGCATTCCGCTATTCGCTCCTCCAGAGTGGGAGTGAACCGGGGCATGTCCGTTGAAGATGTTTGGGGTAGCAGTGACCTGGGGAGGCGATGATGCTGTGAGGTGCGGAATATTCTCAGGGAGAGGATGACGGGAGCCGATTGTAGTAACGTCTGATGCTTTTCCTGCCTTGCTCATGGCATAGTCCCCAGAGTCGAAATACTTTCGTTCCTAGAAAAGAAAAAGAAAAAGAAAATAACGGTAAGAACTGGAAACTGGGAGAGAACACAGACGGTGACAACAATCATCCGCGGTGGGCAAAAACGATTAATGACTTGCCTTGAGCTTGTTTTGCAAGAGATCTTTCTTATTTGGCATCTTGCCATACATCCTCAAGAGTCGCTGCTCATCAGGACTTAGCGACTAGTAATGCATCATTAGCACAAGAAGGTAAGTGAGGGATAGGAAAGATGTGCCTTACATTGATATCTATCTTGTTTTGCTGGTGAGGGTTCATCATGGGCGAGTAGATTTATTGATATCTGGATAACGCCAGGATAGTTCAAATCTATGTACAAAGTACTCTGTACAGAAGAAGAATCCCGACGTGAGTAACTTGAAATCAGTCAGGAGATCGTGAGCTCAGAGATGGTGAGGCACAGAAGAGGCGATGCCTTGAGATGATAGAAAGGAGATGACAGGGAGAACGTTATGATAGGCAGCCAGAGCAATAGAAGGATTAAAATATATTCGGCAAGCAAGTGAAGAAAGATAGTAAAAAAAGGAGAGAGAAGGAGGGAGCGAAAGTGTTTCTTTTTTTTTCGTTTTCTCCCTTTTCTTCCTTTGCTTCCTCCCTTCTGGCACTTTTCGGGCGGTTCAACTTGACATCACCTGCTCTGGGGGGCATTTTAGACTTCCCCATCCCACTTTTTCTGCGTATTATCTTTGAACTCACTAGTTATCGACTAACCAGTTATCGATAACAAAACACCCCAGAAAAGAACCAATGAAAAAAAAAAAAAATGATGCTTGAGCTATAAGATAAGCTAAAGAGTGGAAGAATCATTATTTATACGCCATTAGTTTTGTGAGTTGGACTATTCGGCCTGTTGTTAAGTGCTGGTTTTATCTATTTGAACAGTTACTACAGAGATAGCCAAGTATGGCAACTAGTCAAGGCAAAGGTCTGGCTCAGGCCAAGCAGTCGACGGCTACTTTTGTTGTCGAACATCTTGACCCCGAACTCGGGCCATGGTCTGCACTGGAATACAGATGCATTGCTGAAGAGCTGGGCAAGGCCAAGGCGAAATTCATGCTGACGTCTGTGCAAAAGTCTCTGTGCTTACCACAAACCCTGGCGTCGCAGAGCAACTTGGGCGTGGAGCATCAGAGCGTGGAGGAAATCTTTTCAGGCAGAAAGTCGGCCGTCTGTCTCTTGGATCCAGCAGCGGACACTGAGCTATCGCCATCTGACGGTGATGAATTTCAAGTCTTCCTTTTTGGCGGCATCCTCGGTATTTAATCCAGTTAAATCCAGTGGCGATGAAGACCTCCGTGAGAGGAGAACGGCTCTTGAACGTTTAACTAAGAAAATTTTATGATTTTATAGGCGACCACCCACCACGAGGTATGTAAGCTGCCAGCCGTTACTTATCCGTGGCTAGAAAATTCACTCCATAACCGACGTATATAATATTCTCAGTTCTAATTAACCTATTGAGACCGGACCTCTGAACTGAGGAAAAAGGGATATGCTTGCCGTCGATTGGGCCCAAAGCAGATGACAACAGATACCGCTGTTAGGGTGACGCGCATAGTGACCCAGGACAAAGGTATGAAATAATCCATTTTTCTCCCCTCCCCTTCACCTCGGCCTAATAACTGTTTGACTACTACCTGCAGTGCCATTGAACCAAATTCCTTGGCTAGACTTCCCTGAGATCCGCATAGACAAGCGCGAGTCTATCGAAATGCCATTTCGATACGTAAAGGGGCCAGATGGAGGGCCAATTATGCCGGAAGTAAGTCCTTATTCATATGTTCGATAAATATTTCACCCTATCTTTCTATCTTTACACACCAGCTGAAACCCAACAGGGCATGCCTGCTCTTATTAAAAAGGATGCGGATAAGGCAATAGAAGATCTGCTTTAAGGAGGTCTTGCTGGTCCTCTGCATGTCCTACCTTGTGGTCAACCTATATATCATCTGAATACGGAATGCCTCCACAAATAATATTTATGGGAAGTGCTATCAACATTCCTACATCCAGCCTCCTGATAGAATAACGCCACAGATGAAAAGGCAACGTTGAATTTAATATGTGATTACAGTACTATATGTACTAGTGGAAAAGGGGGAAAGGGGTGGCTTATGTAATCAGGGTTAACCGTCCAGTTAAAGTCAGAAAAGTTACATGACAACACGAACTTCTTCTCTCTGAACTTGCTGAAATACCTTTCAGCAGATGGGTGTTTTACCCACAAAGATCGATTCTCATACCAGATTTTGAATATGCACTATTGCGAGTCGGATGTCTGCCACACATAAGATGCGTTACAACCTCCAACTCGTGCTGCCCAGCAACACACGCGCCAGATGGGCCTGGCTACTGCTCTTACTCTCAAATCCAGCTGCTGTTCTAGCAAAATGTGCCTCAGATTATTTCGTTCACTCCCTTCCGGGTCAGCCTGAGGGCTCCGTACTTAAAATGCACGCTGGGTAATTATTATCTTCCTTCGGATTTTCCCTGCAGACATGCACTTCTCAGTTTCTAAGCTGTGATGAATCATAGGCACATCGAAATCGACTCTGAACATAAGGGGAACCTATTTTTTTGGCACTATCAAAATCGTCATATAGCGAACCGCCAGAGGACGGTAATATGGCTAAATGGGGGGCCTGGATGCAGCTCTATGGATGGCGCTTTGATGGAAGTCGGCCCGTATAGGCTCAAGGATGACCATAGCCTGGTTTATAACGAGGGATCATGGGATGAGTTTGCCAATCTTTTATTCGTCGACCAGCCGGTTGGTACGGGATTCAGCTACGTCAGTACAGACAGCTATGTCCATGAACTAGGCCCAATGGCTGACCAATTCATCATATTTCTGGACCGCTGGTTTAAATTGTTTCCCGAATATGAGAATGACGACGTGCGTGAACTTCTCTTGTCCCGGTTCTTTTATGTTACGGCACAAGCTAATGATGATATTTATCACAGATTTACCTTGCGGGTGAATCTTATGCCGGTCAATACATTCCATACATTGCCAAGGCGATCGTCAAACGCAATGAAAAGCTTCCAGCCAACCAGACCGCTTGGAATGTGGAAGGGCTCATCATTGGAAACGGTTGGATTGCGCCAAATGAACAGTATCGCTCTTATTTAACATATGCATATAAGGAAGGCATCCTGAAAGAGTCATCCGAAGGAGCCCAAGCTGCAGAAGCTCAACTATCGCAATGCTCGTCAAAGCTCAGCGAAGTAGGTAAATTCGGGATCCATATAGATGAGTGCGAACGTGTAATGGAATTAATTCTGGACACGACAAAAATAAATGGGAAGTGCCTCAACATGTATGACATCAGGCTTGACGACACATCTGACTCCTGCGGCATGAATTGGCCACCGGACATATCCAGTGTCACCACTTACCTCCGCCGACCAGACGTTGTAAAAGCCTTGAATATCAACGAAGACAAAACAACTGGCTGGCGTGAGTGTTCACCCGGCGTGGGAAGAAATCTCCGAGCCACCGAATCCGTGCCCTCTATTCAACTACTCCCAGGGTTACTCGAGGGCGGAATACCGGTTCTCCTATTTAGTGGTGACAAAGACTTGATATGTAACCACGTAGGAACGGAAGACCTTATCCAAAACATGAAATGGTCGAGAGGTACAGGCTTCGAGCTTTCGCCCGGTGTTCGTGCACCGCGTCACGATTGGGTGTTTGAAGGACTCCCAGCCGGAGTATACCAGCAAGCTAGAAACTTAACTTATGTCAAGTTCTACAATGCAAGCCATATGGTTCCGTTCGATTTCCCTCGGCGCTCTCGCGATATGCTGGACCGTTTTCTAGGCGTTGATATCACCACCATTGGGGGTGATCCAGCAGATTCTAGAATTGATGGATTGAAAGGCACCATAACTTCTGTGGGCGCTCACCCAAATAGTACAACCGCTGAGGAGCGCGAAAAGGAAAAGATGAAAATTGCTGCTTGGCAAGCCTACTATAAGTCTGGCGAAATCGCTTTGATTGTAGTTGCTATTGCTGCTACTATATGGGGATTTTTTGTCTGGCGGTCCAAGCGACGAGAGCAAGGGGGGGAATATCAGGGTATCTACCCTAACCTCGAAAGCCTGAGTTCCAGCAGTCTATCAACTTTTAGAAGTAAGCGCCGAGGCAGACATGATATTGAATCCACATCAAGGTCGGATGAAGCTGAGCTAGAATCTTTATATAATGGCCCAGAGATATCAGAGGTATTGGAGACACAAGATGGTCGGCAGCGTGAGTTATCCGCAGATGGTTCAAACGAAAAAGCATCAGCTAGTCTAATGGTTGAGAGGAATTTAAGATGATTGTTGGAGCGAGATAGATATATAATTATATATAACTAAGTGGTAAAGATGTTAAATACTAGTTTTATATAATAATATATATATATATATATATATATTGTATAAGTAACGTGACTCACCACTAAATGCCCACTACCACTAAATACCTAGCCTTTTATAAATCTCTATACCCCTCTACTACTTACTCGAAATATCTATAAAATAGCTAATAAGGTAGTAATTACTACTATAATTAAAAAATTAAAGTTATAAAAGGTTTCTAATTACTTATAAACTATAAAAAAGTAGAATATCGATTAAAGAACCCTTATATACTATTATTAAGGCTAAATAGTATTCTATTCTAAAGTAGTATTAAAATATTATAAGACTCTTATAGATAAGTAAGAAGAAGTTCTCCTATAGTATATTAATCGATTAGTAGTAAGAGGTCTATCTTCTACGCCTTAAACTATTTGAAATCTTATATATAAGCTTATAAAAGAGCCTATAGAAGTAAATTAGGTAGCTAGATTCTATAAGAGATATAAGGATTAAATATAATTAGATATAAGGATATGCAACGCCGAACCCACAGATATTTAGGTGTTAACGGCCAAAGAGAGTTCTATTCAACTAATTAAGGGTATCCGTAAGTCGAAGACAAAACACATAGGGAAGAAGAAGAAAGGGGAAAAGGAAGGAAGTCGGTAATAGGGGATAGAGCTATAGCTTTAGGCGTTAAGGTTATATAACTATATTGAGGGTCACGTACGCGAGAGTAAAAAGGGGGAGTCTAGTAATAGTATCTCTAGATAGGCCTTACTACCTCGTCGATTATAGAGCGCGCGGTAACTTAAGAAGGGAATAAAGGTCTAACCCCTTATATTATACCCCCCTTCTAGTTCTTGCTTTAAAAGTATTAAGGGCGGCGGTCTCCTATAGCGCCGAGGCTAGTTTCTAGATTAGCTTATCCTAGCCCGTCTACTTTACTAGTAGCTACCGTTATCCCTTTCTAGTCTATTCCTTTACTATCTAGTCGACCTCGAATTCTTCGGGCTCCCTATCCTCGCTAACTATTCTAGGTAGTCGCTAGGCCTATACTCGCTACGAAGGTAGTAGATCTAAGGCTATAGGACGGAGTAGATTTATATAGAATATATTATATATTATCCCGGGGGTATCTAGATAATAAATATAGCTTCCGATTCTCTCTAAGACTTTAAACTTTCTATATTTCGTATTAAGCTTCTTAGAGGGTCGGTCTGTCTTAATATTCTATAAATCTAGCTATATATAATCCCCTACTTCGTACTACGTGTCTAGGTCTCTAAACCTATTTATAAAATCCTATTACTCCTATTAGGCGGCCGCTATTAAAGCCTATACCTATTTACTAGTTAACTTTAGCTTATATAAAATAGTATCCGCTCGTTAGATAGGGCTCCTTAAGTTAGAAGCTCCTACCGTTAGGTCTTCTAGAAAATCTACTACGTCTAGATAGTACCTATACTCTAGAAAGAAGGGGGATACGCCCGTAGCCGCTATATCTTAGTTATTAATTACGAGCTCTACTAAGGGGAGCTAGTTATACTAGTTGTCCTATAGATAGTTTACGTACTTCTATAGGTAGGCCTCTACTATCTAGTTTATTCTCTTAGTAGAACCGTCCGTCTCCGGGTACTACGTAGTCGATAAACGTCTCTTTATCTTTAGGACTTAATAGATTTAAGTTTAAAGTACTCTAGTAAACTACGTTCTATAATCTATAACTATAGCCTATAGTAGTCCGTACCGCCTATATATTATTCTAATAAAGATCTTAGCGATAGTATTGGCGTCTATCTTCTCGTAAGGTTCTAGTATAACCCCTTTACTTAGCCTATTTATTATTACTAATAGGGTAGTATAGCGCTAGCTCTTTAGGAGGTTAGTAATAAAGTCTATAGAGAGTTTACTCTATAATCTATCCGGTATAGGTAGAGGCTTAAGTAATCTTTATTTTTAGTCCTTCTAGAAGTTTAAGGCTCTATAGGTCACGTAGTTCTATAGGAACTATCTAATATCTCTCGTATAGCCTAGCTAGTAGAATTATCTACCTACTAGGGCGGTTATAACCTCTCTTTCTAGGTAGCTACTAAGTATAGAGTCGTAGATATCTTATACTATTCTTATTCGTAGTAGTTCGCTATTAGGTATCTACCTCCTCTCTCTCTAGAGTAGTTCGCCGTTTAGTACTAGAGAGTACTCTATTATTAATACCTTTACCCCGAGGTAGATAGAGAACCTCACTCTCTTCTCCCGTACCGCTTATTCTAGTACTAGTATAACGGGGTTATTTCTCCGTATATTCTTCTAAATACTTCGTAGTTCGTCGGTCTTAAAACTAGTCTAGTAATAGCCTCTAGTTCTAGAGGGCGTAATACTATTATTAGAGTACCTTAATAGTCTACTATTAGGCGCTATAGGTAGTATATATACTTCGGGCTTCGCGGAGAGCTTAATACTAATACTAGGGAGGTCCTCTTTACTACTATTACTTATATTAATCTATTTATCCTTTAGTAGTTTTATTTCTCTATAGGCTAATCGTTCGTCTAATATATCTTTAGATATATTCTACTCCCTCTATAAGAGCGCGTCTATTATTAAGTTTAGAATCCCTAGCCGATAGATTATCTTAAAGTTAAACTAGCTTAGGAATTCTATCTATCTTATCTATCGCTCTATTAGCCGTCGGACCGTTATAAAGTACTCTAAGTTCTTATAATCTATTAGAATTCTAAAAGAGCTAACTACTAGAAGTTCCGCTTCCTATTCTTCTAAGTACTAGATAACTACGAGTAGTTCCTTATTATAGATCTCGTAGTTATACTCGGCTAGGGAGTTCCTTTTTAAGTAGAAGGCGTAGAGGTAAAGAAGGCCCTCGTTATTATACTATATTAAGGTACCTCCTACTATATATCCGGAAGAGTTAGTTTCTAGTATAGTCTTCTATTCTAGATTAAATTATAAAAGGGGTAGGCTCGGCTATAAATTTCTTCTTAAGTTTATTAAAGGCCGTATTAGCCTCTAACGTCTACTTAAACTCGATATCCTTTTTAGTAAGTTCTATTAAGGGGGCCGCTATCCTTAAGAAGTCCTTTATAAATCTCTAATAAAAGTTTACAAACCCTAGGAACCCTTATACCTCTTTTATTAATTATAGTACTTATTAGTCTAGAATAATATTAACCTTCGCGGGGTCTATCTTAATTCCTTCTTTAGTATTAATAATAAACCTAAGATACTTAGTAGAAGTAACTTCGAATTCGCTCTTATTAATATTAATAGGTAGTTCTACCTCTCTTAGTTTCTAGAGTACTCTCTTTATCTACGCTCTATATTCCTCGAGAGGCCCTTCTATAAAAATTAAGATATTATTAATATAGGCTAATACAAATTCGTCTAGGAAGTCCTATAGTACCTAGTTAATATATCGTTAGAATATACTCGATATATTAGCTAGACTAAATAGGGTTATAAGCTATTTATATAGGCCGTACTATATCCTAAACGCTATTATCTATTCTAATCCTTCTACTATCCGAAGCTAGTAAAAGGTAGTAATTATATTGAGTTTAGTAAACTATTTCGCCTTCGAAATCCGCTATAGTATCTTATTTATTAGAGGAAGGGGGTATCTATCCTTCCGGGTAATCTTATTTAGGCCCCTATAGTTAATATAGAACCTTAGTCCTTCTTCTAGCTTCTTAGTAAATAATATAGGGGCGGCTATAGGTAAGTTACTTACGCGGATAAACCCTTTCTCTAGTAGTTCTATAAGAGTTTTCCGAAGTACTAATAGCTCGCCTCTAAATATATTATAGAGGGGGCTCTAGGGGATCTTTAGCTTATTTCTCTATTCGTCCTATTCGACTAGCTTAATCTCGTAATCGATACCTAGTCTATATAGAGATAGCGTTTCTACTACCTTCTAGTCGAATATATCTAGATACTCATAATACTATAGTAGTAGCTTCGTTCTAGAATCCGTCCGTAGCTTTATCTTTAGAGCCTTCTCGATATCTACTATACTCGCTACAAATATTTCGATAGGAGCTATCTAGTAAAGACTTCTATAGATAGGCTCTATTATCACCTATACGTATAGCGTACTCTATATAGTAGACTCGATAGGGGCTATCTGGTAATAGTATTGCTAGACCGGCCTTATTAGTACTTATACACCTTGTCCTATAGACTCGCTAGGAGCCGTCTAGTAATAGTATTACTAGATCGGCCTTATTAGTGCTTATATACCTTATTCTATAGACTCGCTAGGAGCCGTCTAGTAAGGTCTTTACTAGATAGATTCTAACGTTATTCGTAGATAGTACCCTACCTCCTACTCATCGAGGTCTCCCTTTTACGCCTTCTCCCTCCTTACTCTCCTATATAAGTAGCTAAAAGCTACGGCTAAAATTTCCTTTATATCTATTTTCCTCTATATATCCCCTACCTCTACTCTAACCCCTATTTAATTAAAAACCAATATCCTCGTCTATTTTTCTAATAAGGCGTCTTAATTTACTATCTAACCCCTTCCTAATATAATATTGTACCCTACTACTCGCGGTAGAATATATATAAATATATACTCCTATTAGTTACTCGCGATATCTAAAGTTATATACTCTACTTCTATTATTATCTTACCTATCGGTCTATTTATACTAGAGAGTATACGTAGTATAATTAGAATACGCTTAATATACTACTTCCTAGTAAAGGCTAATATTATTACTCTATAGGCTCTATAGTTAGTATCTATTATAGTTCTAGCTATAGTAGTTTAATTTACTATAGTATCTATAACGATATATAGACTTTCTATCTTTTCTTTCTAGAACCTTTACTATTCTTATAGTATATCTTCTCGGGGCTCCTATATACGCTTTAATATAGGAGCTAGTCTTTTCTCTAGCCCGAGTAGTTAGCATCCTCCTCCTCTTCTAGATCTAGCAGTAGTCCCAACGCCG